CTCTAGATGATCATTCCTTTTGAGCTAAATATTTATCACAACAATCATATTGTGGTGTTAAATTGTTTATCTCAAACTGATTTTACATTTCATTTTGGAACTTTGAACATTTCAATGTTTCCAAGCTTTACTTCATTAAGTAATTATTGATATATTTACTTAAATCGTTAGTAAAAGCAATGAAATAGTTAAATCTCTTTACTAATTTTGAACTTATTGGTTCACATACATCATATGTATGAGTACAAAAAGGTCATTTAGCTTCTTTTACCCCTTCTACTAAAAGGCAACATGGTCATTTTAACTTTTATCAAGCATGACTTCTAATTCTCAAGTGATTCATAATCATATAAGAATATGAGTCCATCCTTAACTTTGGATGTGCAAATGGTTAATGTGACCTAACTTTACTTGTTGTAAGTAAGTGTATTTTGAATCATCTAAATTATTTTGTGATCTACTTATATCAATGTCATAAAACAAAATTAACTCATATCTAGCAAAATGAAAACAATTTATTACCTTGGTCATGGATCAACACTTGTCTAAGCCAAGTAAACCAAATTCAGTATTCAAAACAAGAAAACCGAAATATTGTCTCATCAAAACTGGAAATTGTTCTAAAATCATGATAAACTAATCAAAAATTTAAAACTATGAAGCTATCTCTGGCACTTAAACACTTCTAGTGAACCTTCAAGCTCCATTTCCATGCTAGCTTCACTTATTTGCAGTTCCTGCGCAACATCACTATGTTAAGCACTGCAACTTGGTATCACATACCTAAGTGAATGTTAAAATGTTTATAACATTATACCTGAGGTTGATGCTCCATTCTTCTTGAGGAAGTCATGGTATTTCTGGCAATTTCGCTTCCAATGCCCCTTCTTCTTGCAGTAAAAGCATTCACTTTCACTTGCAGCCTTGGGCTTTGGAGTCGTCTTAGGCTTTTCAGGAGCCTTGGCAACTTGCTTGCCCTTGCTCTTGGCACTAGCCTTTTGCCCCTTCTTCTTGAACCCCTTTCCCTTTTGAATCATAAGAACTTCCTTCTTAGGTTCCTTAGGGATTTGTTTCTTAGCACTAACCAGCATTGCATGTAATTGATTCATAGTCTTTGCAGTGGCAGTCATGTTAAAATTCATGATAAACTGGTTGAAACTTTCTTGTAGTGAATGGAGAATGATGTCTGTTGCCAAATCATCACTATATGGGTGCCCCAGTTTTTCCATACTTTGAATTAGGCCGATCATTTTGAAAACATGATCATGAACTGTGGCACCCTTCTCCATCCTACAATCCAGAATCTCACGATGGAGCTCATACCTTTCAACTCTAGCTTGTTTCTTAAACAAAGCTTTGAGTTCTTGCATGATTGAGTAGGCATCCTGGTCCTCAAAACGCTTTTGAAGACCAGGCTCCATGGTAGCAATCATTAAGCAAGTGATAGGTATAGCTCTGTCATGAGCTTCCATGTGCTTCTTGATCTCTGCCGCAGTTGGATTTTCTGGCAGAGGTCCTAGTATGGGGTGTCAATGATGTCCTCTTTACCCTCAGATTTCAGAACAAGTCTCAGCATTCTTTCCCAAGTGGAAAAGTTCTCCCCTGTCAACCTATCCTTCTCAAGGAATGGTCGAAGGTTGTAAACGTTGTTGTCATTGTGGTTACGGCTACCCATCTATGTCAAAATAAGCAAAGTTTAAAAATTATGTTTAATATAAAATTTAAAGTACCATAAATGCATTCATTTGGTAACTTTAAAACACTTTATTAATAATTAATTGATCCCAATTGAATTTAAGTGATTCCAAGATCCTTTATTTGTGCAATAATTGACCGGACTTTGGCCCTAACATCAACCATTACATAAAATCTAACATACATAATCTACTAATGCAATAAATCATGACATAGTATGGCACCTTAGTTCTAAGAAAACTAGAAATGAAATAGCTCCCACTTGAATCGTCATGGATCTCCACCCACCTTGCTCCTTTGGGCCTTCACTTCATTAGCTTCTTTGGATTAACACTATTTAAATAACTATTCTATTTACTTTAAATAAAAGTTACAAAAATACTCAACGGTACGCATACCGTATTTAGATTACAAAAATACATCACGATGCGCAAATCGTATTTAAGAATCTATGGGCCATACTAGTCTATATATAGCAACATAATATCATATATTATAAAAGTGCCATATAATAACTCACTCAACATGCTTGTCTAAACTACAACATCGAATGTTCATAATAAAGTCAACGCATTTCCTAAAATATCTCATATTTTAATTATAATTAGATAATATCATATATTATTCATGACCGTTTATAAAATATCATATATTTAATTTAGTCATGAGATGGAATCAAATTATATTTTAATCTAGAAAGATAAATCTTATTTAATCTTCCATGATTAGCCAATCAAATAATTTTAAAATCAATTATATCATAATCTAATTATGGGATAATCACATTATTTAAATCAATTATTATCCTTTTGGAATATGCTCAGAATACCTAGTCAAACTTATCCAAAATTAACCACTTTAATTAGGATAATTACCAATTTAACAACTTTAAATATGGATAATATCAAATATAACAACTTTTGAATATTTGATTTTATCCTAAAATAAAAGATTTTATCCAAATAAAACCAACTTTATCTTTTAAAAATAAAAGATCATATTTTCAAAATATTCTATCTTATCCAAAATAAAACTGATTTTATCCCAAAATAATTCATAATTATCTTAAATAATTTTAAAATAAGATAATTAATTTTTTTTTTTGAAAAACCGCAAGCCACCACCACCGGCCACCGTGGTTGGCTAGCCGAAGCTAGCCACGGTGGATGGCTGCCTTAACAGCAGCCACTGCCGCAAGGCAGTAGTGGGCAGCTGCTCTGGCAGCCGTGGCAGCAGCCGTGCAACGCTTGCACGCTGCTGCCCACAGCCACCCCAGATCGCCTGCCCTCCCTCCCTCCCTCTCGGACTGCCACCTGGTCGGCAGCCGCCGTGGCTGCGCCACCCAGCCGCGGTTGCCGACCACTTAAAACTTTTTTTTGTTTTAATTTAATTAAAATAACACTTATCATAATTAAATTAAATCAGTCCATAAGATTAAAATTAAATCACATTCAACTTTAAAATTAGGGTTTATCATAAAATTAATCCCAATTTATTTTTAACTTTTAAAATTAGATTGATGATCATACACAAAACACTTTTATGTATAAATCAATCTGATTAAAATTATGAATCATAAAATAAATCGAATTAAATCAAAATCAAGCACAAAAATCATATTTTAGGGCTAGGATTTTTGAAAATTTCGAAATTTAGGGTTAGGGGGTTCGAAAATTTCGAACAATTAGGGCTAAAATTCGGTCTCTTCATGGCTATTTTGAGCATAATTAAATCACATTTAATCGATTCCAAAAGTTTAATCACATTAAATATAATAATTGAACCATAATTAAATTAATTTCTCCCTCTTAATTGATTATAAAATTAACGTGGACATCAAATAATCGTATTATTATGATCTAGCGCGTTCATGCAAGAGGCTAACTGATACCACTGTAAGAGTTTATAGGTACTACACAGCGGAAAAACATGAATCATATTCAATCAAGTACCAATCCCAAGAATCACATGCATAACACACAAGACACATAATCATACCTTTGACGTGTGAATTCCACGAAGCTATTCGACAGGCAAATCAGGGAGAGAATAGAGCCCCAAGCGTTGCTCCTCTACTTAGTCCACGAGATTCGAACGAGCCGTCCACAACTACTAGATTGGTCGAGTGATTGAGGAAAACCGCGATCACCACCTTTACGGACAACCGACCACCGCACGAACCACCACCACCACGACACACCACCGACGCCTAGGAGGAGGAGAGAGCCGTGTGAGAGAGAGGACTTTGAGAGGGGTTGGGTTTCGTGTTTGCTAATTAGGGTTTGATCACACTGATCAGTTAATTGCTTCCTTACTGCAAACCTAGGCACCTAGTCTATTTATAATCTCATTATAATTAGACTAGGTCACGAAGCCCAAAACTCCTTCTAATCCACTACATGGCCGACCACCTAGAGTGATGAGGCCCATGATGGGCCTCGTCCTCTAATGCTCGATCTAGCCCCTTTGTGTGACCTTATAGGATCCGTCCAATTGGGCTTTGGGCTATTTTACTAGTCCAAAGATCGTTAGTACCTCTAGTTATGGCAAAACGACGACCCAAATGTACGAACTTAATTATCTCCATAATTTGATCCAATTATATATCTATTAATTGCACACGACGAAGACATAACTCCTTCAGCCACTTGGTGCAGGTGCTTTCCGACCACCCTCAAGAGTGTGGCGAAGGAATGGTTTAACATATTTAAAAGTACTCGTTTTATTTCATTTGTCGTTGCTACTAGCTCTTCACCTCTTCCACAGTCTCTGCTTTAATCACATATTTAAAAGTATGTAAGAAAATCTAACCCTTTTACCACAATTTCTACTGAAAAGATCACATGGAAACCTATTGTATCTTACATCACATTTAGAATGAAAGTCTTTGACATCAGACTTACACAATAACACAATACATTCGGTGGAAATAAAAGTCAGCAATTACGCCTACACTACAGATTAACAAGTTGTGGTATTGTGGTCATTCAGTGTATCTTATCTTCTCTTAATTTTGAAAACCGACAACGATTTATTAAACAAAATCATCACCAAATAAAAATGAATTACAAGACTTGCGCGACGTCGTTCGTTCCCTGTTGGTGTGTCAGATTCGGAATTGGGTTTCACCTGGTTGGCAGGGTGTGCTCGTCGTAGACAGTTGTTGTATTTTCAGTATTAGTTTTTTCCTAGCTCTTTTGTCCAAAAAAAAAAAAAAAAAAAAAAAAAAAAGAATTACAAATGCATAGGCTCTGAAATAACTATGTGCATCTGCAGATTATCAAGAACCCCACCCCCCCCCCCCCCCCAAAAAAAAAAAAGGAGGGTGTGCAGGAAATAATATAGCTTAAGAGAATGACTACATACTTGAAATGCTTCTGTAATTTACAACTCTGAAGACCTCTTATCTTCAGATCAACTCTTATCTCATGGCTGCTCATGAGGCAAACTCTAGACAAGTTTATAAAGCTGCCAGCAATCCCGTGATACAATGCGGATTGATATCGCTTATAATTAGTAACATATAATGTTGGAAGATAACATTTAAATTGGTAAAAAGTTCTTTCAAATTTGGGAGAGGAATACATTGTGTACATTCTCCATGAAACCAGCTTTGTTGCCCTTGTATTGTAGCAGCACTTTGTGAGCAACTCTCAACAGTTTCCACCTTATTTCTGAATTTCTCTAGTAGCTTTAGCTATCTGCACAGTGCAAAATACAACTTACTAGTGAGCATCCAACTATTGTGACACTTTTATCTGGACAAAGATGTAATAACCTAAGTAATAACTAAAAAACAGTAAAACTGAAATAATTGATCTTAATAAGGCATTCTAAGAGCAGAAACTTCATTTGCTAACCATGTTTATTATGATGATGGAATTTCAGTTGTAAAATTTCATCCTCGATTTTCTTGAAATATGCAAGAGAAATATATAGCAGAATTTAAAGCAGAATTACTGTTAGGAAAGGACCTAAGAGATGAATCAGTTTTGTAAAACTTGAACAAGAGCAATTTTAATTGATTAATGATCATATACTCCAAAACTGTGAAAACTTGCAACAAACCAGCATAAGACCGACCCATCAAGAAAGAGCAGCAATGTTGTGAGTTATATTAAAGGAGAATGCTAGAAAATATTAGTATGAAACGGAGAAGTATGATATATATCAAGTTGCAGGGAATAGTATTTGCTTGTCTGCGTACCTGGTTATGAAATAACAATGATTGTAGAGAGCTGAGGAAATAAGTCATAGATCATCGTTTCGAAATTTGATGATAGGAATGTGTTTAATGTAAGGCCAATCCTCCCTGGGGGGATCTCTTTGACATCTACTCTTCAGGCTTTCTGAACATCCAGAGAACTCAAGTTGGTTCAGAGAGGTGAGTTTAGGCATCCAATTCGGTATTGATTCGAGTCTTTTGCAATTTTCAACATAAAGGTATTTGAGGGCAGCCAAGGATTGCATCCAATCAGGCAGACTCACTAGCTGTGGGAGACCCCAAAATTTCAAGCTGTGGAGAGAGTGAAGGGATCGCCATGGCCTGGCATCCTCTGTCTCTTCTGATAGCCTCACATTAGGACAGTTGGATATCTCTAACCACTTTAAGGATGTGAGATGCTCTAATCCCCCAGAAACACTCCTTAGTTTATCACAGCATCTAATTTCCAATGTTTGCAGAGAAGACGAGCAGTTGCGAAATACCTCCTCTACTTCTTCGAAGCTTTCCAACTCACACCGAACATCTTGAAATGATAAGCTTTCAAGACTCTGAAAGGCCACCATAGGCAGAGAATTTAACCACACCACATTGTCTATTTCCACTTTCCTTAATGTAGGAAATGGAACAGTACTACTTTTACTCGAATTTTCAAGATCAATCAATGACTGCGACAACTTATCACAAGAGAAAACTGATGATGAGGGAGGAACCTCTCCTATTTTTTCCTCCCTTTTTGTTCGTAATATTTTCAGTCTTTTATTGAAGTCTCTTAAGTATAAAACTTCCACCTTGAGACACAGCGGAATACATGTCAACTCCGGGCAACACACAATATTCAAGTTAGAGAGACATAATTGCATTTTTTTTGTTATTTTCAAGGAGAAGAAGATCATCTCTCCATCCTTTCAACTTGGGCAAATCAAACAACTCAAGGCTTTCCAAGGATGGGAAGAAAGATACTCCTTGACTAATTTCTATGTACTCCAACTTAGGCAACCTCCCAAGATTGAGGAATTTGAGATGTCGCAAGCTTCCAAGACATGGTAGGTACTCCAACTTCTCACAAAGCAAAAGACGAATGCTTACGAGATTTGGGAGAAGGGTTGCCCAACCAGGCATTCTCACACCACGGTACTCCCGTACTTATAAGTACTTGAGATTCGAATGTGGTTGTAGATCTTCCATAAATCTTCTTGCTTCCTCAGTATCCACATCTCCAACTACCTCCTGATGATGAAAACGAAACGTAAGGCGATTGAGATGTTCCTTAAACCTTAAATATTGTCCTTCAGTTCTGCTGCCGTCTACCTTAATGACATTTTTAGGCCACTTAAACTGGACTTTAAGACTACCTTTGAGGTTGTTCATAGCCTTAAGATCATCCAGTCCATCAAACCATTGCTTCGTAGTTGAATTACTTCCTTCAACACCCACTATAAAATTACTTAGCCTGTGAAGGTTAATCAACTTACCCATCCCCTTGGGAAAACATTTCATGCCACAACCATACGTAATCAAGGTCCTAAGCTTCACCAGCCTGGTCAAATCTTTTGGCAACTCTTTCAACTGAAAGCAATCACTTATCTCTAAGGTTTGTAAATTACATAGTTTTGTAATTGACTTCGGAAGCACTTCTAGTCTGTTGTTCCCCGAAAGATTTAAATACCTCAAATGCAACAGTTCACCTATTGATTCTGGCAAAGTTTTGATACTTTTATGAGACAAATCCAATGCCCTGAGGCGAATGCAATTAGCCAATAATGCCTCTGTGAAGAACTGATTCAATTTAACTTCCCCGCCACCAACAAAAACATACGTCCGAATATGGGACTTGTATAACGAACATCTTGTAACTTTGTTTGTGGAAACAGACAGGTGGCGGACTTTATTATCCAAGTTGTCCTCTAAGTTATATGTTGCACAAATCTCCTGTTTGGTTACTATTTGAGCAACATCGTGCATTAGATCATGAATTTTAAAAAACAAGATACCAAAACCTAATACACTTCTGCATACGTCTTGAAAGAAACATCTTTGCAACAAAATTGAAAAATATTCCTCTGCAGCATCTTCAATATTTTGACCTTCATCTAAAGGAACAATATAGCCTTGTGCCATCCAAAGGCTTATTAGCATCTCCTTTCTTATCAGATAATCCTTGGGAAACAACGCACAATAGCTGAAACAACTTTTCAGTGGAGACTCGAGATTATGATAACTCAGCTTCAATATAGGCATGATGTCATTTTGGCTCTCTCTGAGGTTGGCTAATCGGATTTGAGCAAGTGATAGCCACTTACTTTTGTCTTGGCCATATAAGAGACTTCCTACCACTCTTATAGCAAGAGGGACTCGAGAACATCCTTTTACAATCTCTTGCCCTATATTGACCAAGTCTTCAGGAGGTTTAGATGATTGCAATCCAAAAGCCATCCTTTCAAACAAACACCAAGAATTCTCCTCTGATAAGCCTTGGAGCTCGTGTGTTAGACCGTCTCCTATTATTTTTGCTGTTGCTAGTGAACGTGTTGTTAACAAAATCCAGCTTCCTCTTTGACCTCCGATTAAGAATCTTTCGAGGTCACGCCACTGATCACACTTCTCAGACCATACATCGTCTAAAACAAGCAAGTATTTTTTACCTGCTAGTTGGTCGCGTAGCTGCTTTTGTACCTGATCCATGGTGGAGTCCTTCTGAAGCTTATCAGTTGCTGAAGCCAAAATCTTAAAAAGAATATCTTTTACATCAAGTTGCTGCTGATCTTGATCAGAGACACAAGTCCACAACCTCAACGGAAATGCACTTATAACCCTTGGATCGTTATGCACAAGTTGAGCAAGGGCTGTTTTGCCCAACCCTCCAATTCCCACAATCGTGAGAAAAGATACATCACGTTGCACATTAGAACCGAGCATCATACCGACAATCTTTTCCAAGTCATCCTTCCTTCCAATGATATCACCTGCATCCACATAAGAACAGGTCTCGGGCCTTCTCCTTCGGATAGGCTCGGGATCATGCTTAAAGCTAAACTGAGTGTTATAAGCAATAGCATCCAGTTTCTTTCTGATTTTCTTAACCCCTTGAGACATTCTGTAAGCAACACCAAGTGGGTTATCAGAAAAGAAACGACACACCTTTTTAGAGAGACTACCACCAGTCTCCAAGAGTTGCTTCTGCTCAGCAAGAGTAACAAACTCGTCCAGCAGATCATCTGCTTCAAAGACAGCATCCTTGAGCTCCTGGAGCTTATACTGTGCTTCATGGGAGAGCTCCTGCTTGGCCTCTGCATCAAGTAGCACAGCATTGACAGCAAAGACTGTGCGTCGAAGATCATCAAGCTGCGATTTGTAGCCAAAGATTGAAAGGATCTCTTGTAGCTCTGAACACTGCAGCGATGCAAGCAGAGTTTGAGCAGCTGATAACCCTGTTCCAATAATATCCATTTTTTCTGACAAAAAGATGTGACTGAATAAGGAAATGGTTGCAAGCTCTGGTTTATTCCATTCAAAGTAAAAATAATGCAAACATTGAATCATATTGTTGATAAGGTAGGGCTTTATTGAAATAGTGTAAGATTAATTTTTCATGCTGGACAAATCATATTGTAATCTCAAGTAACAATTCAGTGGATCCACAAATTTGATTTTTTCTTTCCTAATAGTTTCACTAGAACAATTTCTGGGAAACGGGGCAAAGGGTAACCACTCACTCACCGTCTCTTAAACGAATAATTCACCACCAACAATCAGTGTTCTAGCAAATTAATCACCTCCATATAGATCAAAGCAAACCACTAATTAAAACCCAAAAAGGGCTACAAATCCTAATTCATGCAGTCTTTAAACAGCATTAAACCATTAATCATTCTTATTTTTTGTACATTATTCAGTCAAAATCATATTTTCCAGGACCAATTAATGACTCTTTTAGCTAAATTGAAAACTAATGAAAAGTACTCATTCTGAATACTTTTTCTGATCAAAATTTGACCAGCACATACGAATTGAAACAAGAAACTCAGCTTACAATCACAACAACACCACACAAATGCAACAATTAGGAGTGTTTCAAGAATGAACCAAACCAAATTACAAATTAAAGTCACACCGAACAGAAATCAACGGCGACAAATGTTCTAATTTATAGCAAAGTACTAATGTAAAATTGTTAGAATGGTAATTTAAGGAGGTGTATATGAGCAATATGGCAATTGAAAAAAAAAAGTTCAATAATTTATATAAGAGCAATTAAATCTAAGAGAATTGTGTAATTAAACCTTATATTATCAGATAATTGACGATTTTAAAGAAAAACATACATCATACCTCAACTTTAATGGAGGAGAGAAAACTCAGAGTATGCTTCAATGGAAAACTTGAGGAAACTTAAATGGAGTAGAGACTGAGAGAGAGAGGAGAAAATTGAATGAATTTTAAGAGTAAAAATTAGAAAGAGGGATTAATAGAAAAGAAGAAAGTATAGCTTTTGAATTTCAATTGCATTTCAGCTTCATTTCATTCTATTTGCTTATCTTTATTTATTGTTCTTATACCAAAAGTGACATAAGAATAAGATAGGTCTCTTACACGAGTTGAAGTGTTGAACTGCTGTGTCACCATCGCATAATTTTTTTTTTTTTTTTTTTTTTTTTTTGGTGTTTAGAGAGCCACAAGGGCGGGGTTGAGAATTGATCCCAAGATCTTTTGGAATCGGGAGGGAAGCTCTAACCATCGCATAATAATTGCACTACACACACATTTTAAAGATTTGTTGCAAATTACCACTTTTTTAGCTAAATTTATCAATTGTTATATGTTAAATGGGTGGTAAGTTGCAACAAAATTTTTCAAAATGATTATTTTTTTTTATTTTATTTACCTTTCATAGGTTCTTCCCGTCCGAATTAGCATACTAGTCACTTTTGAAGTGGGGGAAAAGGGTAAGGGAATCCCCACCCTAAAGTGCTTCTAGTAAGATTTGACCTCATAATTTCATGATTGTAAGATGCAAAGCTTAACATTAGTGTATCGTATTAACGTAATTATTGAACCATTCAATGTTTATTATGGGCTCATTTCAACAAAAATGACGGTAGTGAACTATAACCTCTACATATCAACATATGTGATATGCGGCATATGCCCTTTAATAGGCGTATTAGCAATTTAGCACTAGATTGTACACGTAGTAAATTAATTTTTGTGTTCTAAATGTTACAGAGTAGATAAACTAAAATTAAGATAGAAAAATATTACAGAGTAGCAAAATAAAGTCTTAAAGTTGATTATTTTAAGTCGTACCTTTAGGCTTTACCCACTAAGAACAAAGAAATGTTTGTGATATTCTAAAATCCAACATAATCTATCTAATTAACCAATCTAACTCACTAACAAAGTACTTCATTTGAATGTAATTGCTTGTTTATTTTTTCTCTTTTGTGTGCTTGTTTGTTTTATTCTTGGTTTTTTTGCTTTATTTGGATGTAATGCATCTTCATTTGAATCAAAAAAAAAAAAAGTACTTCATTTGTGGTAAAATCTAATTTTTTGTTTGAATTTAAATAAAAAGTGACCTTTAGTATATCTTAAATACTATAGTACAATATACTCCATTACTCCAATGAACCAAATTCATAGTCAATACGGAAAATTTGGAACCTTTGTTTTATGGCAAAACTAGGATGGAAGATCCTTACCCAACCTAATAAACTTTGGGTTAAAATTTTTAACAAAAGATATCTTAAATACTCTAACTTCCTTGATTATAATGCCAAGATTACTGACTCCCCAATTTGGAAGGATATTCTTCAAGGGAGAGATATCCTTAAAAAAGGTATCACTATCCACATAGGCAATGGCGAGGATACCTCTCTTTGGTTTCATAAGTGGATTGGGGATAAACCCTTATATCTTGACGACAACATTAAAATTCCCGATTCGAAAGGCCATTGGAGAGTCTCTGACATTATAAGAAACAATAAATGGAACACTTCCCCTATCTCGCACCTTCTTGATTCTAATACTCTTCTCAACATTGAAGCTATCCCTCTTTCCCTTTTCCACTCTCCCAAGGACAAACTGAGATGGATTCACCATAACAGCGGTTCCTTCACCATTAAATCTGCTTACTTCAACTCTATTTCTCCTACTCAATCTCCCAATTCTTTCCTTTCTACTTTCCCTTGGAAGAACTTGTGGAAAATTCATGCCCCGTTCAAATATAGAATGTTGTTTTGGAACATAATCAGAGGAATTCTCCCTATAGGGGCTGTTCTAGCCTCAAAAATTCCAAACTTTGACCCTATTTGCCCTAGATGTAACTACTCTTATGAGGATTATATCCATCTTTTTAGAGATTGTCCAGCCAAGCTTTTTGGGCCCTTATTTTTAAATATTTCCCTCCCACAGATTTTAAATATACTGAATTTTATTATGAGAATTTTGAAGACTGGATTTTTTTAAATTTCAACCATGATAGTTCTTGGAGAGTCTTGTTTTGTGTTGCCCTCTGGCATCTTTGGTCAATTAGAAACAACATGGTTTTCAACCAAAAGATGGCTTCTATTCACACTTGTTTTAACAAATTTTATTGCGACTATGCTATTACCTTGAAGTTATCTCAGGTTGGGTTAGATGTTGCATCTTCATGTAGACCCGTTTCTGCTAGAGTTTGGTCCCCCCCCCCCCCCCTCAAAGGGGTTACTATAAACTCAATACAGATGGTTCTTGGCTAAGCTTGGGAGAAGGTGGTGCTGGAGGTGTCATACGCTGTGAAAAAGGGAAGTGGCAGATTGGGTACACTATGAGTATCAAGACTCTAGGGGCTGCTTCAGCTGAGCTTCTCGCCATTAGGGAAGGTCTTAACACTGCGTGGGAAAGAGGTATAAGGTTCCTTGAGTTGGAAACCGATGCACAAGCCCTCACTTGCATGATTCAGAACCCACATTTCTACATGGACCATCAGCTCTTCAACATAATCAATGATGTCTCTCAGCTTCTCAAAAGGGAATGGCAGGTTACGGTGCTCCATGTCAAGAGGTCTGCTAACAAGATTGCTCATGATTTGGCCGAAATTGGCAGGGGGATGACTGATGACGATATTCTTTTTCACTTCTACCCCCCTCCTGGTCTAACTCACTCCTACACCAAGGAGCTTGCTAACTCCATCTCCATGATGGATGAAAACCAATCTCCTTCATGAAGTGTTCCTTGAGTCCCTGCTGCTGGGCTCCCCTATACACTACTACTACTATGCTTCCCTGCTTTTATATATATATATATATATATATATATATATATATATATATATATATATATATATATATATATATATATATATATATATATATATATATATATTTATTTCCAGCTTTCCTTTACTTTCTATCTACTTGTTGGTTTTGGCCTATTGGTTTGCAATTTTCTGCTACAATGCAACCATGGCAGCCCCTTTTGTTCCAAAACTATGATTCCCTAGATGTTTTAATCATCTAGTGGTAATATATTATCCTTTTCTTGTTTAAAAAAAAAAGATATATCGAGCTCTCTTTTCACACCCCCGCATCTCCTCAATAATCATAATACTAGTATCATTAAATTACTCAAACTCTAGATGTTATTGCCATTGTAATATTTTTAAGTTACCTTCTTGTGTGTGTATCTCACACGTACTATATACTTTAAAATAAAAGGTGTCAAATTTATATTCGAGTCGACTTGCTCCAAAACTAACCTATAAAATATCAATTCAGGCTTCGATTCACATGAACCTGAAAATTTAACCTGACTCAAGTTTAAGAATAAATCCCACCCAACCCGGTCCCATTGAACCCGACACAAACACCCAAAATCTCTACTTTAAATAGTTCCTTGTTTTATTTCATTTGTCATAGCTACTAGCTCTTCCACAATCTCTCCTTTAATCAGAGATTTCACCCTTTCACCACAATTTCTACTGAAAATATCACATGGAAACCTACTATATCTTACGAAGTACATTATATTGATAAATGATAATGAAAGTCTTTGACATACACAATACATTCAGTGGAAATAAAAGTCAGCAGTTATGCCTACACTACAGATTAACAAGATGTGGTCATTCAGTTTATTACGTCTTCTTGAATAGATGCACAGCAGATGCATACAGAAGTACAGAACTACTAGCCAAATCTTGGCATAAACGTATTGACCATTGAATATAGAGAGGGAGTTTCTCTTAATTTTGAAAACCGGCAACGTTTTATTAAACGAAATCATCACCAAATTAAAATGAATTACAAATGTACAGGCTCTGAAATAATTATGTGCATCTGCAGATTATCAAGGAAACTCCATCTCAGAAGAAAAAATTAAAATAAAAAAGGAAAGCAGGAAATAGTATAGCTTAAGAGAATGACTGCATACTAGAAATGGTTCTGTAATTTACAACTCTATGCATTTTGAAGCAGCGAACTGAAGACCTCTTATCTTCCGATCACCACTTATCTCATGAGTCAAACTCTAGATAAGTTTTTAAACCTACCAGACTGGCAGTAGTCCCATAATACTACGTGGATTAATATCGTTTATATTTGTCAAAAAAAAAAAAATTATTGTTTATAATTAGTAACATTAAGGGGGCGTTTGGTTCACAGAGTGGTATGGAGTTGGAATCAGGAATGGGGTTAAGGTGGTATCGGGTTAGAACTTGATACTTAATACCATGTGTTTGGTTTGATTCTGGAATGGAATATCTCACTATTTTCTCCTTTTATTTGATACCTAAAGGAATGGAATGAGCCAAACCCACCTCCCCCCAAGGTTTCTAAACCCCATACCTCATGGGTTTAAGGTATGGGTTTGAAATTCATATTTTTGACAACCAAACAAATGGTATGGGTTTTAGTCATTCTAAACCCATACCTCACACCTATATTTCGTAAACCAAACGCCCCCTAAATGTAGGAAGATAACATAGCACAACAATAGCATAGAAATATACAAGTAAACCATGATAAAACAATTAAAACAAAACAGGTTGATATTGGCTACATAAGTAACAATAACTATTGTGAGTTTGTGACACAGCAGTAGTTCTAATTACAGAGTATATTAGGAAACTAACAAGTTGGTCAAATTTAGGAGAAGTATATAATGTGAACATTCTCCTTGAAACTAGCTTTGTTGCCCTTGTATTGTAGCTGCACTTGTTTATCAACAACTCTTTCTTCCTCAACAGTTTCCACTTAAAATTTCTGAATTTCTGTAGCTATCTGCAAAGTGCACAATACAAAGTAATAGTGAACATCCTACTACAGTGACAATCTGGTCAAAGACATAAACCTAATAATTAAAAAAGTAATAGTATAACTGAAAATCAAGAATTTGATTCCAATCAGCTATTTTATTAACTGCAGAAATTGGCAAACCAAATTTATCAGAAAGTATGACAGAGTTTCAGTTGTAGCATTAAATCCTTGATTTACTTGTTGGCGTACCTGGTTATAGAATAACAATGATAATAGAGAAGCAGCGGAAATAAGTAGAACGATCCTATCGAATTATAACAATGGGGATGTGTTTAATGTAGGACCAATCCTCCCCGGGGGTTCTTTTCGACATCTACTCTTCAGGCTTTCTGAACATTCAGAGAGCTGAAGTTGTTTCAGAGAGGTGAGTTTGGGCATCCAATTCGGTATTGATTCGAGTCTCATGCAATCACAAATACGCAGGTATTCAAGGGCTGCTAAGGATTGCATCCAATCAGGCAGACTCACTAGCTGTGGTAGACCCTCAAATCTCAAATCGAGGAGGGAGTGATGAAGGGATCGCCATGGCCTGCCATCCTCTGTCTCTTCTGAAAGCCTCACATTTGGACAGTTCCGTATCACTAACTTCTTTAAGGCAGTGAGATGCTCTAATGCTCCACAAACACTCCTTAGTTTGTCACATCTTTCAAATTTCAAGGTTTGCAAAGAAGACAAATAGCTGCGAAACACCTCCTCTACTTCTTCCAAGCTCTCTACCTCACACCAAATACCTTCAAATGATAAGCTTTCAAGGCTCCGGAAAGCCACCATTGGCAGACAATTTAACCACACCACATTGTCTATAACCACGCTCTTTATTTTAGGAATGAGAATAGTACTAGTTTTACTCGAATTTTCAGGATCACAAGAGAATACCGATGAGGGAGGAACTTCTCCTATTTTTTCATCCCTTTTTGCTTGTAATATTTTCAGTCTTTTATTGAAGTTTCTTAGGAATAGATATTCAACCTTGGGACACAATGGAATACATGTCAACTCTGGGCAATCAATTATTGTCAAACCGAAGACACATAATTGTATGTTTTTGTTATCTTCAAGGAGATGAAGATTACCTCTCCATCCTTTCAACTTCGGCAATTTCAACAACCTAAGGATTTCCAAGGAGGGGAAGATTGATACTCTTTGAGCACATTCTGACCCAGGCGTGGAACTGAAAACTGATGGACTAATTTCTATGTACTCCAACTTAGGCAAACTATTAAGCCAGAGGGATTTGAGATGTCGCAAGCTTCCAAGACATGGAAGGTACTCCAACTCCTTGCAAACCTCGAGATGAATACGTACAAGATTTGGGAGAAGGGTTGCCCAACCAGGCATTCTCACACCAAGGTACCTTGATACGTCTAACCGCTTTAGATTCGAATGTGGTTGCAGCTCTTCCATAAATCTTGTTGCTTCCTCAGTATCCACATCTCCATCTACCTCCTGATGACAAAAAAGAAACTTAAGGCTCTTGAGATGTCCCTTATTCTTTAGATAATGTCCTTCTGTTCTGCTCTCATCTACCTTAACAACAGATTTAGGCCACTTAAACTGGATATCAAGGTGACCGTTGAGGTTGTTCATAGCCTTAAGATCTTCCAGTCCACCAAGCCAGTGCTTTGTACTTGAGTAACTCCCTTCACCACCCACTATAAAATCACTCAGCCTGTGAAGGCAATTCAACTTGCCCATCCCCATGGGAAAACAAGTCATCTTGCGACAATCAGATGTAAGCAAGGTCCTAAGCTTCACCAGCCTGCTCAAATCTTTTGGCAGCTCTTTCAACTGACAGCAACGACTTAAGTTTAAGGTTTGTAGATTACCTAATTTTGTAATTGACTTCGGAAGCACTTCTAGTCTGCTGTTCCACGAGAGATCTAGATACCTCAAATGCAACAATTCACCTATTGATTCTGGCAATGTTTTGAAACTTAGATGACTCAAATCCAATGCCCTGAGGCAAAAGCAATTAGCCAATAATGCCTCTGCCCGGAACTGTTCCATTTCAACAACTTGTCTCCTTTGGCCAACAAAAAGAAACGTTCGAATATGGGGCTTGTTTAATGAACATCTTTCAACTTTGTTTCTGGTCACAGATAGATGGCGAACTTTATTATCCAAGTTACTGCAAAAGTTATGTGTTGCACGAATCTCCTGTTTGGTAACTATTTGAGCAACATCGTGCATGAGATCATGTATCTTAAAACTCACAATATCACCATTCTTCACATCTCTTAATACGTCTTGAAAGAAACATCTTTGCAACAAAATTGAAAAATATTCCTCAGCAGCATCTTCAATGCTTTGACCTTCATCTAAAGGGACGATATAGCCTTGTGCCATCCAAAGGCTTATTAGCATCTCCTTTGCTATCCAATAATCCTTAGGAAATAATGCACAATAGCTGAAACAACTTTTTAGGGGAGACTCGAGATTATGATAACTCAGCTTCAATATAGGCATGATGTCATTCTGGCTATCTCTGAGGTTGGCTAGTCCAATTTGCGCAAGTGATAGCCACTTACTCTTGTCTTGACCATATAAGAGACTTCCCACAACTCTTATAGCAAGGGGGACTCGAGAACATCCTTTAACAATCTCTTGCCCTATATTGACCAAGTCGTCAGCAGGGTTAGACGATTGTAATCCAAAAGCCATCCTTTCAAACAAACACCAAGAATTCTCATCTGACAAGCCTTGGAGCTCATATGTTAGACCATCTCCTATAATTTTTGCTGTCGCTAATGAACGTGTTGTTACCAATATCCAGCTTCCTCTTTGACCTCCGATTAAAAATCTTTCCAGGTCACGCCACTGGACACACTTCTCAGACCACACATCATCTAAAACAAGCAAGTATTTTTTGCCTGCTAGTCGATCGCGTAGCTGTTTCTGTACCTGATCCAAGGTGGAGTGCTCATGTGATTGTCCAGAAGCCAAAATCTTACAAATAATTTCTTTTACATCAAGTTGCTTCTGATCTTGATCAGAAACACAAGTCCACAACCTCAACGGGAATGCACTTGTAACCCTTGGATCATTATGCACAAGTTGAGCTAGGGCTGTTTTGCCCAACCCCCCTATTCCCACAATCGTGAGAAAAGATACATCGCGTTGCAAATTAGAATCGAGCATCATACCAATAATCTTCTCTAAGTCATCCTGTCTTCCAATGATATCACCTGCATCCACATAAGAACAGGTCTCGAGCTTTCTCCTCTGAATAGGCTCGGGATCATGCTTAAAGCTAAATTGAGTGTTGTATGCAATAGAATCCAGTTTCTTCCTGATTTTCTCAACCCCTCGAGACATTTTATAAGCAACACCTAGCGGGTTATCAGAAAAGAAACGAGACACCTTTTTAGAAAGACTACCGCCAGCCTCCAAGAGTTGCTTCTGCTCAGCAAGGGTAACAAACTCGTCCAACAGATCATCTGCTTCAAAGACGGCATCCTTGAGCTCCTCGAGCCGATGCTGTGCTTCATGGGAGAGCTCCTGCTTGGCCTCTGCATCAAGAAGCACAGCATTGACAGCAGAAACAGTGCGTCGGAGATCATCAAGCTGGGATTTGTAGCCAAAGATTGAAAGGATCTCTTGGAGCTCTGAACACTGCAGCGATGCAAGCAGAGTTTGAGCAGCTGATAGCACTGTTCCAATAATATCCATTTTTTTAAACTGAAAAAAGATGTGTCTAAATAAGATACTAACTTGCAAGCTCTGCTATATTCCACTCAAAAGAAAAATTATAGCAAACATTGTGCCATATAGTTGAAATCTTGTAGCAGAAGGAGATAAAGCAGTGGTTTATTGAAATAATGTAAGATCAATTTTTCATACTGGACCAGTCTTTTTTCATCTTAAGCAATAATTCAGTTGCTCCACAAATTTGGTTTTTTTCCTATTTGTTTCACTGGTCTAGTGGGGCTATCACTAGAACAATTTCTGGGAAACGGGCAAAGATTAACCACGTATTCCCCGTCTCTAAAAGATTGTCCCATATAATAAATGCCCAAAGGTTCACTAAAATAGAGGTCTAACAAATAATTCACCACCAACAGTTTTCTAGCAAATTATTCAATGCCATATAGATCAAAGCAAAGCCCCTGATTAAATTCCAAAAAGGGCTACAAACCCTAATCCATGAAATCTTTAAACAACATTAATTAAGTATTAAAAACAAAGCATTTGATGAAAAATACTCGTTCTTAAACTTTTTCTGATCAAAATTTGACCTGCACATATGAACTGAAACAAGAAACCGAGCTTACAATCACAATAGCACCACACAAAATACAACAATTAAGAATCTTTCATGAATGAACGAGAATGAATTACAAATTAAGTTGCACTAAACGGAAAAAAAATTAAAATAATTGATTGCACATTCTGAGAAATCAATGGCGACAAATGTTCTTATTTATAGCAAAGTACTAATGTTTAATCAATAGAATGATAATTCAAGGAGGTGTGATAATGGAGATTGAAAAAATAGTTCAATTGAAAAAATAGCTAAGAACAATTAAATAAAAAATAATTTTGTAATTAAACCTTATATTATCAAATTATTGATGATTATAAAGAAGAATATACATCATACCTCAGCTTTAATGGAGGAGAGAAAACTCGAGTATGCTTCAATGGAAACTTGGAGTACACTTCAATGGAGCAGACAGCAGAGAGATTGAGAGAGAAAGAGTTGAATGAATATTATGAGTAGAGCAGAGGAGAAAAGTGGAAATCAGGAAAGTATACCTTTTGAATTTAGTCTGCATTTCAGTTGCATTTCAGCTTCATTGTGCAACTGTCAAATTTTAAAAGCATTTTTTTTTTTTTGAATAGAAATTTTAAAAGCATTTAATAGTGTGTATGTAGTACATATATTCAATTCTTTATTGTATAATGTTATTTAGTGTGCAACATTAAAGTATAATTAGCTATTAGCCTAGCTGGTTAAACAATAATGCCCCTTTTAAGAGGTCAAGTGTAAAACATGTACCTCAGTAGCGGTTTTAGACTATAACTTTTTTTTTTTTCCAGAGTAAAACTTGTACCTCAAGTAGCAGTTTTAGACTATAACCGCTACTTAAGGTAGCGGTTTGTCTCTACAGAAAAAAATTACCCCAAATGTATCTCCAAGCCTACGTGGACTGTATTTTCGTAAATAAGTTTCATTCCAATGCAAAACCGTAAATAAGTTTCTTAAATGCTACTTCCTCTGTTCTTTTTTACTTGTCCTGTTTCTTTTATCACGCTTGTCAATGCAAATCCTTAGCGATCAATAACTTTAATTCTTCATAAGTAAAAATCATAAAAGTTGTATATTACGATAGTACTTATTGAGACGAATTAAAAAAGATATCATATAAGTATATTTTTTCTTACATATCATTCACAAAAGATGGTCAAAGGAGCGGTGGTGAATAGTGTAAAAGTCAAAGCGGATCAAGTAAAAAAGAACGGAGGAAGTATATTTTTGTAAATACAAAGTACCATGATCTCCTAGTAAGGAAACTCTAACCCCATGATTATGATTATGATTATGTACTGTGAATACTATCCCCATTTTATAGTTTTTGCAATGATTTAATATAAAATATACAGATTAGTAGTTTTCGCTATATTCTCGAGATCAACATATCCACTTATTTATACAGATTGTGCTGCCCTCTTTGCTCTTCTTCCTCCTTCTGGTTCAATGGAAATCTCTGCTTGGTGGCTCATTCAGGAGTTGCGGGCTTTGGTTCAGTTTTTTTTAGTTTGCCAGGTTCAAAAGGTTCCTCGTTTGTGGGTCAATCCTGCTTATTGGTTGGCTGGTTGTGCCCGACGTCGTCAGTTGTTGTATTTTCTGTTTTAGTTTTTTTGGTTTGACAGTTGTTTTTTGGTTGTTGTTCCTTTTATTTGATAGCTCTTTTGTCAAAAAAAAAAAAAAAAAAAAAAAAAAAAAAAAAAAAAAAATTACTTTAAAAATGATCGGCCTTTATACGTAATTAGGAAACTTGTCATAACAGTAACAAAACTTTTAAAATCATCACTTTACGAGAAAAAACCCCCTTAGTAAAAAATTTGAAAACCAAAAACCTTGACTTTCTTTTCCGACGTTGACTAAGGGCCTGTTCTCTTCAGCTTATTTTCAGTTCGGTTCAGTTCAATTCATTTATGTTCTGTTTTTAATTTCCTTCTCTCATAAAATATTCAGCTCAATTCAGTAAATCAAAACAGGCCCTAATAATTTGCTTACGTTATTGAACATGAAAAAAATGTTGTACACTTGTACATCAACTAATGCTTACAGAACAAAGAGACGAGTGTGTAACCGACTAAGGGTCTCTTCTGATACGTTTATTTTCAGTTTAGTTTAGCTCCTAATTTCCTTCTCTTATAAAATATTCATTTCAGTTCAGCTCAGCTCAGCTCAGCTCAGTTTAGTTCAGTTCAGCTGAGTTCAGTCTATGAGAACAGACCCTAATTGTGTGAAGTATCACGTGTGGGCACTGTTCATAAGGTAAGGGAAGATGAAGCATTAAAAACAAAAGTAGACATAGCCGGCACACATGGGTGCGTATATGTATATGGAGGTTTAAGTCCCTTTCACTTCTTTTGAAATGAAATTATTTTTAATAAATACGGAGTATAAATTATTTTTGTCAAATTTAACTTATTTTTATTGAACTGGAATTAATTTTATTAATTTTCTATTATTTTTATTCTTTATTGTTTTTAATAAACGGAACTTAATTTTTATTGATTTGAATCTATTTTTATTTGATTGATCACAGAATATAAATATTTTTGTAAGGTGGAGTAAAGAAGACCTTTTTTTTTTTTTTTTTTTTTGAGGGGGAAAGAAGACCTTAGTTACTCGTTAAGAATTTCTCACAAAAAATACATGGAGCATAACTGTACAATACTACTCCCTCCATTTCCATTTGTTTTTTACGTTTTCATTTAGGGTGTTCCTTTTTATTCTTTACATTTATGATATTTCTTTTTTAAGTCATTGATTTTAGACAAAATTACCCTTGCTTTACAATTTAAATACTCAATTGTCCACTTTTCATGTGCAAATGTATCTTTTATAATATGTTAATGGATTTTCAATACTCGTTATTACTTTCTCTTTCATCTCTCCTCTACTTTCTTCACCCCTCATGCACAACATTGTTTTTTTCAATATAATTGTACTTTCAATCATTGAAATATTCCAATATACCTCTACTTTACACAATTTCTTAATAACCGCGCATAATTCCAAACGTAACAAACATTAGGGAACGGAGGGAGTATTATTAAAATGTTCAAACATAATTTATGAACAATCTTACAGTCTTGTTAATTCGTAATTATAAAACATCTATCTATATATATATATTAAAACCCAACGCAAGAATTGTAATCATGCCACGTGTCATCATTTTTGCCATATGTTGTCATGAATTGATAAATGTTGTGGGGTCATGTGATTCATGTCATATTAAAACTAATCATCAATTTTTCCTCACAAAAAATTAATGTTCATAAATTCTAATTTTTTAAACCCTCATTCTTTTGTTTCCTCATTCATTTAACAGATAAAACAAAAATTAATACAATAATGAATTTTGTTAATGTTCAATAAATTTTTTAAAAAAATGATTTTTTAAAAAATTATAAAACCATCAATAGATTTTATTAAAGTTATTTTTTAAAACAATTTACTATAGTTTTTTATATACAAAAAAATTACCCGGGCATCGCCCGGACCTCAAACTAGTTAATAAATAAAACACCCACATAAACATGTTTGAACACCTGCATAATTAAAACTAGGGGTGAACATGGTCTGATTTGGTGCGGTTTGAGTATAAACCAAACCAAACCGCAAAATGCGGTTTGGTCAATTTTCCAAACCAAACCAAACCATATTAATATTGAAACCAAACCAAACCAAACCGTAATAATGCGGTTTGGTGCGGTTTGGTTTGCGGTTTATGATGAGACGACATTTTTTCCTAAAAATTGTCAAATATTAATAAATTTATAATCGGATTATATTATAATACAAAGTTTTAATAAAATAACAACCAACTAATCAAGTGCTAACACAAAAACACATAATAAAAAATAATATATAACAAATTAACAGTGGAAAAAAGCATAATACATTTGTCCAAAAAAAAAAATTCATACTACATTTTAGTTTTTAATAATTGGCAGCAACTTGACAACATTAGGGGCTACATTATGCAATATCAATGATTGCCGGAGCTAAACTGATCTTGGAGTATAGTAGTATACAGAATTACTGACCTTCTTCTAATGATTTTTCATGTTTTTTTATTATTTTTTTTTCTTTTTTAAAATATATAATAACTATTTTAATTTTATAAATATTATATAAATATTAAAATGCGGTTTACTGGTTTACGTTTGGTTTATAATTTTTGAAAAACCAAACCAAACCGCAAACCGTATTTCCCAAAAAATCGAAACCAAACCGTATTTTTCCAAACCGTAAACCAAACCAAACCGCTAAAATACGGTTTGGTCTGGTTTGGTTACGGTCCAGACCAATTAACCAGTACTTACACTTTTATTAGGCTTTACTTAATTTGATCTGAGTTCGTAACACATAAATCTCAGACATATAAACTAATCTCATAAATTAAATCTGTAATGAAGAACAAACACATCGTGTTTCATAAGTCCTCTCTTCCCATTACATAAAATTAAATCGCTTTGATGGTTTCACATTAAACAAAAGAAAATTGGGATCCAAATGAGTTAGGCTTAAGATTTTGACTATAAATGGTTAAACATTCTACGAGGTTGTAAGTTTTAACCATAATCATTACAAATCATTACAATGACTTACCGCAAATTATGCCACAAAACACAAGGTCTATAATAAAGCAATAAAATATATAGCAATATGTTTAGTTGGAACATTTAGCTTGCTGCTTGTATGCTGGATTTTAGATATACAGTTGTTCTTTTAATAATGAAAAACCTCGTGATTTGAGTAAATTTCATCAATCAATATATATTACAACAAGAGTTCCAATCACGTAATATATTAGGAATCCAATAACAAGTTTGTAAATAATTATTTAACATAACACGGAATATACATATCTTAAACTTAGGAAAAGAACACAATGTGTATATTGATATTCTGATACTCCATCAAACCAGCCTTGTTGCCCATGTACCAGCGAATTTCTAAACCCCTTAAGTACCTGCACAATGTACAATACTAGTGAACATCCTACATATAACAGAACGTGCATTATAATAAGTACCTCTCTCTGTCTGATTTTCCATTAACATTTTATCATTAGTGTAGTTTGAACGGCATTTAATCTGGACAAAGATGTATAATAACATAGTAGTACACTAGTACGGAGTACTAACTAAAATGTATCAGTAAAATTGAAATGGAGAGCTTGATTCTAATACAGCATTTAATAGAGCATAAACTATAATTGTTGACTAGGTTTATTATGATGGAGTATCAATTGTATAATTCCATCCTTGATTTTCTTGAAATATGTAACAAATATATAACCATTTAAAGCAGAATTACTGTTAGGAATTGAAAGGACCTAACAGGTAAATCAGTTTTGGCAAACTAATAACAGAGCAACTCCAAATTGAGAAAACTTATAACAAATCAGCATAAGACCGAGTGACCGACCCATCTAGAAAAAGGAGAATGCTAGAAAATATCAACTGTATTGTTTAAGAAATAGTACCTGCTGCGATTACAAGTCATAAGAGTTGATGCTGGGGATGTGTTTAATGTAGGACCAATCCTCCCCGGGGGGATCTTTTTGGCATCTACTCTTCAGGCTTTTTGAACAATTAATGAACTCAAGTCGGTTCAGAGAGGTGAGTTTGGGCATCCAATCCGGTATTGATTCGAGTCTTTTGCAATCCCAAATTTGAAGGGTTTCGAGGGCAGCCAAGGATTGCATCCAATCTGGCAGACTCACTAGCTGTGGGAGACTCTTAAATTCCAACTTCCGGAGGGAGTGATGAAGGGATCGCCATGGCCTGCAATCCTCTGTCTCTTCTGATAGCCT